GGGGGAAGCAGCCATTTAAATCTTGCTGAGAAGAAGTAATTCTAAGTTTCTGATTTATTTCTTTTAGGACCCCTTTCAGCCAGCTCTGGTTTGGAGCATGTCAAGAAAAACCCAGCCATTTCACAGCTGAGCAAAACACTGCACAGCAGTGCCCTTAAAATCCCAAAACAAGCCCCTGCCAAAGTTTACGAGCAACATTTCAATCCCATAAAGTTACATGTGTGCTCCTTGACCACTGTGTTTCTAGGAGTGTGCCCGTGCTCTATTCACCAGGTATTGAAGGGTACAGGCATGAAAATCATGTAAAAAAAGCCATGAGGAGCAGAAGCCAGAAAAATGAAGGAGCCTCTCTTGTGTCATACGGGCTTTAAAGCTATTTCTAGCCTGCAGTCTGCTGCTACAGCCTCTCGTCCATAGCTTCTAAGAGTGTTACCAGTGAGGTCTCACATCATCTTAGGTTTAAGTGATGCTACACCAAATCTGGGTCTCAGCAATGCACCACTCTGAAGTCAGGAATATAAGCAAGCCCATTATATACCTTTGATATGGAGTTACCCAATTTATAGGTTGCTTACAAAATCTTCTCTCTTTCATCCCAGTACTTGCCTTTTCTAAAATTCACCAGGCAAGGACAGAAATTCAGATAACCTCGGTTTCCCATTAACCTAAATGTTAATCCTAGGCTGGTTCCTGTGATCCAGCAAATCTCTCCCAACCTGGCAGATGTAAGTACGGTGCTGCATAAGAAACTCTGTCTGTCTGAACCAGAGGTGCCTAAGTGAGAGCTCACGAGGCATGGAGAGTCCCTGTGCCTAAATTCGGCCACGTACAGAAGTATAATTTCATATTTTGTCACCATTCGTTGCTACTTCAACACTGCGGTCACAACCATCTGCTATAAATAGGTGTCACAGCAGGTGTGTGATTCTTTTTTTGGCCACCGTACACAACAAAGACCATCCAAGGAAACTCAAAGCTGAGCAAGAGAGAGCCAAGAGGGCATGAAAAAAAAAAAAATATGGATTTGAGCTAAGATACGGATTTAAGGAGCGTGGTTCTCCCCATGCAGACTCCTAATGGGACACACAGACAGATCCAGGGGGACTGTAACAATTTATACCAACTGAGGAGCTCTCTCTTAATTCTAATATCACAATAAAACTTCACATTTTCTCCTGCCCCTTCTTAGTCTTGGCTATTTGTGCTGCAAGTTTTTTGAGACAGAAGATTCTGATTTCTGGACCTGTTTAGTGCTGTGGGATCACAAATACTGCAAGGCAGGTAATGAAATATTTATCCTCCATTGCTGTCTATTCTTGCAGGCTCTGCAAAGGAAGCTGTCAAATCTAAAGCCACCAATTTATGGTTCAAGTCTTCAAAAAGAAACAAAACCAGAGCTTCCACATCCACCTCTCTCTCAAAAAAACAAATGTTTTCATACCCTGACCCATTGCAAGACATTCTTATTCTTTACATCAAAATAAATATTTTAAAAAATCAGATTTCCAACTGAAAGGAAAATAATTATAGATGCTAAAAAAAACTTACATGGCTTAGAAGGTAGGAGAGCCTTTTCATAATGACGTTAACCGAGCTGCAACCTATATGGGACGTATGGTGCTCAGAGCTGGGCCCCAAACCCAGCTTCAGGGAACCTGAATATTCCTGAAAGCTGCAGCATCTGGAGTCGCAGCCTGGCTCCTAGGGGGGTGAAAGCAGCACGTTCCTGCTCACAGCAGCAGTCACCACCTATATTTCTTCTAAATGTGAAGCTGATAAATTCCTACCCTGAATTTCACCCTTTTTTTTAGAGTGCTACAGAAGCTACAGACATTTATGACACAATTGTGAATCACTCCACTCTAACTATGCCAGAGTTAATGCTTCGGGAAAGTTCAGCACATCCCTTTCCAAGCATTAGGCAGGAACATTACTCATAACCTGTAACAGTAGCAAGGAAACCAGCCCTATGCAATGCAGTCCTCTCTTGCAGATATTTGGGCAGGAGAGGACCAGGTGTCTGTACTTACCAGGTGATGAAACAAGCTGGTTCCTGCTGTGCTGGAAGACCAGAAACCCCCATCACAACATGCTCTACAGAGCGTCTCTTTCACTGCCAGGTCCCGATAGCAGCTATTGCCACCCAGCGCTGATGCCAGCCTTTTCCCAGAAAAGCCCAAGGGAGAAGCTGGTTCTGGCCCATCATATGTTTTGAGGACAAGCAGGGGCCACGGTGCCAAAGAGGCCAACACTCCCCACCACCAAGTCCTCTGGTTTCATTCAGCGCAGCTCCCAGGTACACAGCCAAGGGACCTTCCCTATCCTCCCTCACTGGCTCTCCTGATTGATGCCTTATTTTAAGAACTATATTGCTAAGGAGCTAACAAAGAAGTTAACCCAGGAATTTTGGTCCATTAATCACTTCACACCATGCTCTGGGGTTTTCTTTTGTTCAAGCTACAGAGAAATCTGGGGCTGGGTAATCCCCATCTCAGATAATATTTTGATGCAACAGGACTTTATGAGATACAAGATTTTACAGCAATGGAATTATGGTTGTGCATCAAAATGTAACAGGGGATAACAAAACACCACATGGCTTGCCAGCACCCAGGGGTGTTTGAAGTCTGCACCACAACAGTAGCTGCTGAGGTCAAGGATGCTACAAGCACAGGGAGGGCTCTGGAGCTGCTGGTCCCAGGGGAAGCTTCACCAAGGAGCCACTTCCCCACCACAGATCCAGACTCTTTGGAAACCAAAGGCAAAAGGCAATGGAAGGAGCCCTGGAAGGAGCATTTCCAATGCAGAGCGACTGATCTGAGGTGGCTCAGAGCTGGCCACACAAGCATAACTTCCCTCTTGCCTCTATTGAGACAATTAAGGATAAACATACTTAATAAAAGAGCTGTGACCTTGAAAATGAACACACTTTCGGCAGCACACCAGGGTCACTCTCTGCTTCATCTCAGCTGCAAGCCTGCTTTGCTTCTCTCTATAAGAAAACTGGAAGAGCCAAAGCTGCAGACAGCCAGACTATGAGATGGGAGAGGGTGGGGGGGGGTCTCCCCAACCCCAGTAATGCCGGGGCACTGCCAAGCAGAACGGCCCTGGTGCTCAAAGGCATTGAGTGTGCCCACAGCAAGCATGGAGAGGAGCTCCTGGTGTGTCACAGGAGGAGAAATAAATAAATTAAAGGCTGAAAGTAAGTGAAAGTCAGTGATTTCCCCCTCCTTTTAGCATCAGAACTGATTTGTGGTGCTGGGGCTTGTCTTAATGCAGAGCTGTCCCTTGCACCTCCCCAGGTCTGTGCCAGGATCTCTGCTGCTCAGTGGAAAGGTTTTTCCTTGGGAAGCAGAAGTGACAGTGACAAGAGTGTCCATGTGAGACCTCACCCCACAGCCACTGCCCACCAACTCTGTGGTCTGCATGGGAGATCCTGCAGCATCCTCAGCTGAGCCTCGCACATCTCAAATCACAGCAGCAGGAGAAACAGCTCCTTGCAGGAGCTTACTATGGGATGGGCTTTAAGACAAATTAGTGAAGATGAGGCTAAACGTATTTTGTTAAGGCACTTGTAAATCATCTGTCCCTTCAGCTGGGAGATGCTCTGTTTGGGCCCAGCTATGCTGTCAGGTCCCAAGCGTCATGTCAGAAAGGAGGCAGGAAATCACTATGAACAGCTTCTAAGACATCATTTCACAGTTTCACAGTAGAGGTCATTACACTGCACTACTGCATTTAAATGTGTGATTCCAGTTGTGAATATATTTCATAATCTCCTTGCACTTGCCACTGATTCTGGTCTATTGTCTAATGCCTTAAAGTACTTTCTAAGACCTTGGTAATTGAAATGCTGAGGTAGAAAATTACTGTATTACAAGCAGGCAAATTCACGCCGAGAGGAGAAGTGAATTGACCTGGAAGGTCGCATCCAACCGTGGCACAGCTGGGAGCAGGGCGCTGGCTCCTGCTGCCAAGGTCACCGCTCCCAGGCACAAAGCGTCCCTAAGTCACCCAGAGGACATCTGAAATGGGGCGTTGTAAGCTTTTATATCGGCAACGGTCTTTAGAGCTCAATAGCACTTATAAATGAATTCTTTAAAAGGATTATATTGTCCTCAGTAACTCATCACTTCCCTGGACTGGCCCTTTCATTTGCATTTTCCCCCCGCATTTTGGATGAGATTTGAAACCCAGCAATGTCATAGTTTGCATAAACAAACAAGCCTCGAATACATAAATAACAATTCACATCCTTTTTGTATATATTCAAGTACTTCACAAGGCACCATGGCAGCCATTAGCACTTCTAAACACTTTTTGAAGTGGCAGCTTGGTATTTTTTTTTTTGTCCTTTACTGGAATTGATTCACGAACTCCTTTCTGCTGATAAGCGAGGACTGGTGATAGCGGTCCCGCGAGGCGAAGTCTGCGTTCTCCTCGGTGAGCTGCGTGGTCTCCATGCCAACTGTTGCAAAGGACGGTGTCACCACGATCTGCTCCTTGGGAGATGGCCTTCTCCTGCAAACACAGAAGCCAAGGTGCCTCCATCACCCCTTGTTTGCCGTCCATTAGCAGCCATACTCTCAGCTGCACAAACAAGGCAGGGTGCTGCAGGCTGAGGCTAAATCTGAAAATATTCTCTTTAGAAGATACACAAAAAATATACTCCTTTTCCCCAGCAAACACTGGTAAATCTATTAACATTTCCTCTTTGGACTTGCTCCAAACATTGGCTATGGCAAACACTTCCCACACCATGCAGGAAAAGAAGGAGCATGAACCATTTCTAATGAAAAATGGTTCATGCTCCTTCTTATAGTTCCCTAAGCTTTAGTGTACATTTAAATTATTTTTTAGCTATTTAAATGAAAGAGGACATTTTCCTGCAATCTCTTTATGGCAGAGTCTGATTTAAAAACAACAAACAAACAAAAAAATCCAACTTATTGCACATCTGAAAATCAAAACTAGAAGAGGTTATAGCATCAAATTAGGCCTCTTTGAGCCTAGAGGTGTCAGTGATCCTTGGTTGCCACCAACTCCTTTGCACTAATGGGATTTCTTCTTTACCTCCAAGTCATTGCCTGGATTTCAAGGAAATAAAGCTTGGAAAAAACCTGCAAATCACTCCAGTGCAATTCCTTGCAGCATAGCAAAGGTGAGATTCAAAATGACCCACTCAAGGAGAGCCAAAATCTTCTTTGTGCCAGCATGAGCAGAAGCCCTGGCATCAGGATAAGGGGACCAAGCTGGCTGCATGACCCAGAGGTTGCACTCTTTGAGGAGAGAGAAATAGGATCGGTCTCTGCCTTGGGCAGTCACCAGCTCCCCACCCAGCCCTCCTTGGCAGGGTCTTTGCTCATCGACTGCATAGACTGAAGCTCTAAGGACTGTGCTGGTCTGGTAACTCATAGAAGAAACCCAACCCATGACAACAGCACCTCTACCCTTGGAAAGCAGGACTTTTTGAGGTGTGCAGGACAGGTGGGTCTTCAGGGACGCTGGCCCATACTCAGACCCACTGGTCTGGCAGAGAGAATGATGGATGCGATGAAAGAGAACTGACTTGTCTGCTCTCGGCCATGCCATGGACCTGCCTTGGGGTTTTAAGAAAGGTCTGGTCACCCCTGGCTTCTCTCCCAAGCCACCTCTGCTACCAAAGGCTTGTGGCCATGTTACAGGGACTATGAGCAGAGGCAGGAGCTGGCAAAATCGATGTGGTTGTGTACCAATGCATTTAAATGCCTGGACTTTCATTTATTTTAAAGAAGCCACCAAATTTCCACACGTAATGCATGGCAGCTCGTGTTGTGAAGTCCTTATTGCAGTGTTCACCCACTGCAACAAAAATGCAACCCAACAGGTTGAGAACCTCAAATCCCACTGCACTGCGCTGCAGCAGAGATGATCACTGCCCACCATGAGAAACCCAAATGTGATTGAATTAATAATTAATAGGATCAAAGCCAATTAAAAACTAGTTAATAACCAATCAAACAAAAACCTGGAGATCTTCTGGGAAGTAAACTCCAAATACAATGTTACTGCAGTCCCATACAGACTCAACACTAAATGGCTCCTTCACTGAAGACCTTGTTAATTGTATTTGTCCCATAGCCATTGTGGCTTCCCCTTGATTTCCTCTCTGAAACTTGAGCACCGCTGCAATGTGCACCTGCTCCACCCCTTCCATGGTAATTTGTTTTCAATGGATGGTGAGTGGAAGAGATGGAGTCTCCTGTTCCTCATTTCCTACCAGATGTTCCAGTTCAACCAGCACCACCAAGGCTGAGCACAGACCTTTAGGGTACGGTAAAGCTTCAGGCACCAAAATACGGTTAGAAGCTGATGTGTCCACACATAAGGCAAAGTCTCCAGCTCCCCTACTTAAGTGGCCAGCCATACGCCAGGCTAATGGGAGCAGTTATTTTTGCCATTAAGAATGACTTTGAGTTTGCAAGAAGGGACTGCTCAAGGTAATGAGCAAGTCAAGTCTGCCACCCCTCGCTGTGCACATTCGTGCGTCATGGGAACAACGAGTGCCACCTCATCCCTGCCAAGTGACTGGTACGAACCTGCACGAGGTGATCAAAACCGACTTAATCCAGCCGAAGAAACTGAAATTTGCTGCCGCCCCTGCAGAGAAAAGGCACAAGAAGACAGTATGCTGCTAATTCGCTCATAATAGCATTATGCCATTGAATTTAAGCATAAAAGCTCAAACCAACATGATTGTTACTGGCCTTCAGTACCCAAAGATCCCGCGATGGTGAGAACACTCCCGCGGTCTTCCCACACCCTGTGGCTTTTAAACAATTGTCAAGAAACTTAACCCAAATTTCCCATGGGGAACAGCCATCCTTTCCCAGACTGACAGCTTGCTATACTCCAGTAAAGCCGTGAGCAAAGCATAGCCACTCACTGCAGTGCCTTTTCCTCCCTGGACAGCAAAGATCATTCCCACTGCAGGGATGGGGAGACAGGAGGAGCCACTCAGGCGACCCCAGCCAGGATGGCTGTGGTCTCACCACTCATCCCCTCCTGCCTGACCCCATGGAGAGCTGCCTTAGCGTATTACATCCACAACAATTTTTTTCTGATTTCTCTGTAGAGTTCGTTTCTTGCACTGGTTCGCTGCAGGGGCAGGGAAGTGCTGGGACTGGCAGCAAAAGCAGCAGGAGAAGTTAGTGGTGAGGGACAGGGAGGAGAACAGAGACTCAGCAGTGCCTGCTGGATTTGGCTTAGGCTGTTAGGAGAAAGAGAGAGGAAAAGGGATGTGTTGAAATCCTGGAGCATTTCTGCTCCCGAGGTCTTCATCCAGTCCTTAATCCAGAGCATCTCTCAAGACAGCATCTCCCAACCTTTCTAGGCAGAAGGGTTGTTCAGTCTTTTGGAGAACAAACTCACGGATCACTGGATGCCATGCGACCACAAAATAACGTTCAGTCCCAGCCAAACAAAAATCAAGATGACTTTTGAGTGTTCATTTCTAACTTTTTCTTTGCTGTGCATTGTTTCACTGTATGCATAGGAATGTACATGCAAAAGAAACCAAGAAAAAAAAAAAGTCTAATTATGCTGCCATTTCTCAGATCACCTTCCAAAATCCCTACACACTGAGAAATTCTTTTTAAAGTCATTTTTGTTAAACAGTTCAAAAGCAGATAACAGAGATAGAATATAGTGAATATACAAAAGCAAAGAAAACTTCAAGGCCTGAAAACATTATTTGTGTTTTGTTTAATATATAAGGGCAATTAAACAAAATGTTAAAACTTAGATCTATTTCAAAATATACCAATTAACAAGTACTATCCACAATCTCAGCTCTTTTCTACTATTCCATACAGATAAGTAGAAAAGAAATTAGAGTAGAAAGAGAAGCACTGGTGAGCAATGTTTTAATCATTACCAAGTGACAACTATGTTTTGGTTTCTCATCATTTGAGTTTCTGAAATCGAGTACCTCCTTACCTACTGTCTAATCACCTCTCATCTAAATAAACCCAAGGAGCTATTCCATCTTTGCCTAAAAGACATATGAACTAAGTCTCTTTTGACTTTTCTCATCTTGGACCAAAAATTGCCCATCCTCACTCCCTCCAGAGACAGAGACCAATGTAAGCCCCTCCTGCAGCTGTGCCAAGGGCCTGTAGGCTCTCACGAGCCGCCTTCTGAATGTGCTCCACTGTTTAATTTTGCACTTGTTTAAGCCGATCACATGCGCGGACCTTTCTAATGCCCTCTGCCTAAGAGTATTTTCCCAGATTACCTTCCCAACATGTTCAACCTGTTTAGGTCTGGAATCAAAAGGCTCTCTTGTTCTGCAGTTATGAATGCTGAGGCTTAATGACATACCCGTCATAATTCCTGTTTTCATTAAAGTTTTCTCAGGTGGGTTTAGATTGATTAATTAAGTTTATTAAAATGTATTTACAGCAGATTTTTCTCATTGCTGTGATTTATTTACAATCTGCCATCCCTGTTAAGTCTTAGTATTAGTATCTGGTTTTGCCATTTAAAGTACACTATATTGAAGCAATAAGCACAATGTTCTAACTATCAAACTCATACTAGTTACAGTTAGAATCCAGTACAAAAGAGCCAAAGAGAAAATGTATTAATTCTAGCAATGAAACAAAACCTCATCATTCCCTGTGTCATCTGCAGATTAAATACAAGAGTCTCAATTCCTAATTAAGTTAAATTAAAGCTTAATGAATTTTTAAGCAGATTTATTAATACAGAAGAAAAAGTACTCACCAAGGGGGAGTCCTGGGCTTACTTGGCCAATGTAGAAATACAGAATAACTGCTGCAGCCAGGCTGACAAGGGTGTAGATCCACTGAATGACAAACATTATGATGAGAGACACGACCGCCTGTTTGGAAAGACACAATTTGAGGTTACCCATAAGATAATACATTGATGACAACCTGGCAGTCCTTTTTCTGCAAAGCCCAGCGGCTCCATTGACCTCCTGTGGTGCAGTGCCCAGGGAGAACTCCTCACCTGCAGACACAGCCAGGCAGCGGGTCAGTAGTTGGTTGCACAACCTGGCAAGATGACCACGCACTGCAACTCCAAGGGAAACTCTTTAATAACTGAGGTAGTGCTGGAGCTTTCAAGTTGTCATGAGACCACCAGTAAATGCTCCTCTTTTTTTGGCCAGAAACGCTGCGTCCTGGTTTTAAGTGAAGCAAATCCAGTGCTTTGATGGCATTTCCACATCTCTATCTTTCTCAGGGTTGTCTTGGGAACGATGTGTGAGAGACCTGCACAGTCAGGTCCCAGGATGCAGCCACTCAGCTTTATCCTGATCAGTGTTTCCTTTTAGGTGTCTTGCTCCTAATGAAGTCCCAGGACGGGGACACAACAGAGGCTCTCCTTGCACAGGACCTGCTGCATAGCCCGTGTCCTGCCCGTGGGATGAATGATGCCAACCACAACCGTGTGGTGGATGGATGCTCCTGGGCATTGGTGGCTGAGGTTGGTGATGCAGCAAGACTCCTGGGGAACTACGTCATCTCCTACCTGCAAAACACTCCATGGTGCATGGCTTTTGGGCACACGTAGAGCTCTTCCACCCAGTGTTATCTGAAAAGATTTAGGTATGGCATGGCCAAAGTTTCTCAGTAACGAGGTTCCGGTGTTACAGGGAGCCTCGTTTGGTCTCACCATTAAAAGGAGGGACAGCCCAGGATTACAGCATCATCCAGCAGCATGGAGGTACCTGTCAGTGGGCTACCCTGAGCCCTAGAGGCAGTGTACACCTCAGGTCCCTCTCTTTGGGCTGCTCCAAGAGGAGTATCCAGAGGCTCACCAGCTCAGGAGGCAGATTTGGCTCAAGGGACATATGAAGGGGACAGGGGTAGCATCTCCATGGATCAGGGTAGGAGCAGCAAGGGGCAGCATGCAAAGAAAGAGCTAAGTAAGTCCAGACTGATATGATTGGTGAAGCTCAAAGAGAGAGGGCAGAGAGGAAAGGAGCCAGGATGAAAAAATGCATCTGATTTTTGCTTCTGTGATTTTCTTTTGCATCACTGATGCCTCTCAGCTCCTCCCAAATCTGACTATTGACAAGAAACCAAATCTGCTTTAATGAACCCATCAGTCATCCCTGCAAGCGAAGTCCCCCACGACGGCAGAGCACTGCCCGCTCCACGATGAGATGCGCTTGTGAGCCACATCAGGTACTGAGCCCAGAGACAGCACCAGCACACAACCTCCTAAAGATGTCAGCACTGGAGAGGAGCCTCCACATGCACCCCCCCAGCACCGCAATCCGGTGGGACCCCTTGCCAGGAGCTGGCCACTGGCGGCAGCAGCAGCAGTGAATTTGAAAAGTAGGTGTCAAAATCCATCTGAGGATTAAACTAAAAGGGTTTGGTGTGTTGTTCGAGGGGGTTTGTTACATTTTACGCACAGCTACAAAATCCCCATCCGTGCAGCAAAGCCATATGGTTCATTCATTATGCATATCTGACCCTTTCCCTGTCATCTGCCCATTAATCCATCTTCCCAAGATGAATTTAAATGTCCTAAACTCCTCAGCAGCTTGAGACAGAAGCTATTGAGAAGTTATTTATTCTTTAAAGTAACATGCTGGAGAAACGTTCCACTTTCCTCCCTCAAAAGGTAGAATTTCACAGCTAGGCTGCTGGTATCAGGAGGTCAGCACTAATGAAACCCCACCCCACACTTGCAGAAAATGGCTCATAAATAAAAGTAATGCAGCTTTGGAGCTGATGTCTCACTCCATCCCACAGCAAGAAAAAGCAGCCTGGCACACTGTGAAAAAAGGAACGCTGATTTTTTAGAAATGCCTTGCTGGCTGGGAAAAGCCGTAAGTTGCCAAACTTTGAATTTGTATCTTTTTGGTTCCGGTTGGAATATTTTTGCTGTTCTTGTCTGAAATAACATGTCATCTGGCTTCCTCTAAATTTGAACTGCTGGATGCATGGTACCTTGAATGCTTAATTGAGGCGACGTCAAATTCTAGAATCAAAAGCCGTCTTAAAGTACTGCAGTGTAAATACAGTGTAAATACACTGCAGTAAGTGATTAATTTCCTTCTGTTTTCTACAGTCACAAACTAGTGCTCAAAATAAAAGAAAATTACTTACACCAACAAAGGAAACCCAGTGATTGCAGAATCTGGAGTAGAAAGATTCCGGTGGTTGCTGAATTCCCAGCTCTAGATTTTGTTGCTTTATAGATGATTCTGACAAGAAAAAAAATGGAAAGAAAGAAAAGAAAAGCTACATTAGAATTGAGCTAAAGTGTTTGGTTTTTGGGTTTTTGGGTTGTTTTTTTTCCCTCTTACTTTACATTACCAGACCACAGAAAACCAAAGCAGAAATTCTAGCTGGCAGCTGGGTATAGGAGAGCTTAACCAAAACTTGTAAAATGAAAGCAAAAAAACATGCAAGGAAAAAAAAAGTTGCCAACTCTGGTGCTGAGTCCATTTGAAGGCCACATCTGCCTATCTCTGCTTCAGTTTCCCTATTTGTGAAAGAAGATAAATAAGGCTTTTCTCCATTGGAAGGGTTTACAAAGGTTATGTAGAATGCTGATAAAACATGACAGCACTGAGATGACAAACTCCAAGCAAACACACAGCATCAAATACCCACGTCATCAACAAAACACAGTCAGACTTCTAGCTGTGGATGTTGAATTACAGACTCTGTCTGTGGCATGGAGACCACTGCATTTTTGTAGCCTGAGTTTTAGATTCACAGGGCTCCACCTCTCCTACCCCACACCAGGATGAAGTAAACCCCAAGATACACTGAAAACCTTTACAACATACAGCATTAAGTGTGCTTGTGTAGCATAATGCGTATATAGTAAATAACAACACACTAAATATAGTCCTGCCTCGTTTCCTGTCATTAATCTTCCCCAGGAAATTGCATTGGAACTTCTCCTGTGGGGCACAGCGATGAGCCCTACTCTCACCTGGAATAAATGATATTATTGCCATGGATCACTGAATGACAGCCCCGAATATAAAGTTAGTTTCATGTCTGCCTTCAAGAAAGCACCAAGAGGACCAAGGTTATAAACCATGCTCTCTGAGCATGGAGATGTCCATCTCCTACGGCCCTTACCTTCTCCCCTCTGTCTGGGGAGCACGGGCACCTCATTGCAGAGCTGCTCACCCAGCACCAGCAGCTTGGGTGCATGCTGGGCATCCAGAGCGGGTGATGAGGACAGGCCTGCATCATGCTGATGGACCCACTCAGCCAAGTCCTGCCGGCTCTCATGGTGGGGCTCCATGGTCCCACCCCCGTCATATTGAGCCAGGGGAGCATCGTGATGGAGATCCAGGAGGAAGCTGTCTTGTAGCATCTGCTTCACTGGCTTCTTTGCCTTCTTTTGTTTGACATTTTGGGTTAAATTCTCGGCTCCTCCTTTTTTGCAAGTACCTGGTTCACTACAAAATGGTTTAAAAAGCTGGTCCATGTCTTTTGTGAATTCCAGCAAGGTGCCGTTTGATCTGCTTTGAATTACTCCATCTGCTGCATGGCTGGAGGGCTTGTTGAAAATTAAAGGCTGGGAAGAGTGTGCAGGCCTAGCGTTTTCCATCTGGGTCTCGTCAGGTTTCTGCTGAATGTTGTAGCTCAAGGAGACCGAGAAATAGGAATAGTCTACAGCAATATACGTCACCATGAAGTTGATGGTAACTATGGGAGCAAGAACGTTGACTTGCCCAATGAAGACGAAAGCCATAGTGATGAGACTTGTTAAGCAAATCGCAGCCACTGGAGTCTTGTTGGGTCCTTTCTAGTTCATAAATAAAACAAACTTACATTGAAATTAATAACCATAAGCCTCACTGCGAGGATTCCCCACTTGCTCAGCTGCCATAGGTGGTTACCTGGGCGGTTTGCAGTGCGCCCTTAGTCACAAAATACATGCATGCATGTGCAAGCAGAGGCTCATCAGCTTAATAAATTAAAGAACAGGCTGGAAGCCAAAGGCTGCTGAGCTCCCATCTCACCTCTGAGCCTTACTCAAGCTTTGTCTTTGAAAAATTCATTCACTCTCACTCTGTAACTCCGTGGCAAAACAATGCCATTAAAGCAGCAATAAACCTTCAGAGAGATTTGTGGGGCTTATGGGAAATCTGGCAATAAAACATGTTAATTAGAGTTAACAGTTTGTCTCTAATTTCTCTACAGGACTCTGCACTGCTGCCTACCCAAAAGGCTGTGAAGCTCTGCCCACACAGAGCAGTGCCACCTCCACATCAGCAGCTTCTGGCACTGTCCTGACTGGAGGCTGAGCTAAATCCACAGCCTGCTGAGCCCCTGCCCTTGGGGTTTCTCTCATTTCCTCCTCCCGAGCTGCATCTGCCTGGTGGCAGGAGGAAAGCAGCAGAGTCCTGGGCAGCTGAGGATGCTGGAGGGTGGGAGTCAGCCCCAGTGATGCCAGGAGAAAGAGAGAGACAAAGCCAAGGGCATCAGGGGGTGGAAAGACCTGAACCATTAGCTCATGTGCTTTAATCCCAGGTCTAACGTGCCCTTTCTTGGACCAGGCACTGCCTCACCGTTTTGGTAAAATGGTATGGAAAATATCTTACAAGATATCTTAGAAATGTCTTAGGTTTTCACTTACTGTATGTGCTTCTTTAATAAATGCACAGCTCAAATGGAAACTATTTTTATTTCCTTCACTCTTATTTATTAATAAATTGGGACAAGTTCTGGACCTTATGCCTTTTGACAACGAAACAGAAATATGTCTCAGGGATAAAGGATCATGGTCCTCAGAAAGCATCTCCGGTATCAGAGGGATGTACTGAGACAGGGAACAGATGGTACCATCTCAGGATGCCTCTGGCTTGAGTTTAACTCTCCAGAAAACAGTCATGTCCTTCCCATCAGCTGGGGTTATGATGACTACACCGCTTTTTTCAACTATGGAAAAGAAGAACTGATGTGGAACAGACTGTTAAGGGCAAACTAAATTTATTAACTCTCCATAAACCAAATCTCAACAAGTTTCAAGATGGCAGAGAGAAGGAATGGGGAAAAGTGCTCTGCCTTGGACTTCTCACCTCTTTTTGAGCCCTTCCCATCATGGCACTCTGCCCAGACAGAGTTCAGAGCAGAAAACTTGACAGAAAGGCAGAAAACTATCAGGGAAGAGAAGGACAGCTTTGTTAAATCACTGAGAATTTCACAAGGGTTGCCAAGTGGAGAACAGCCTGTGCTGGGATCGCCTGACAACTGCCTTCAGGAGCTGGAAGTTTTTGCTATCCTTATTATTCCTGCTTCTCTTATACTATTCTTGCTATTATTATAACTTTAATCTTAGAAAATTATTTTGAGAAATACAAAACAAAGTCTAGAAAATTACTATGCTTATAAAACATTTAAATATTTTAAAACATTCATAAATACCAATATTGCAAAATATTTTTCTCTATTTATAAGCTGCTCTGAAAGAACAAAACATCATAGGGTTTCTCCAGCTGTTCGGTACAGACAGTTAGGTGCTGCAGGTTATTGAGAGTGATGGAATTACTTTCTCCCTGTTTAGAAGAAGGGAAAAAATAATTTCAAAGTTTGCTCTGAATGTATAACTCAAGACTACAGCGTCCTTAGAGACTGGTACTTTGCCTGATCTCATTGGAAAGACTCACATGAACGAGGATTATTTGTGAGGACAAGGAAAAAGCCTCTTGTCATATTCAAAGCAAGGCTTTGTTTTAAAGCATATGTAAAGCTTAGCAGGCCCCTAACTTAACCTTTCAAATTATTTGTTTTTATTTTATAGTGTCCAAAAGGCACCTTATCTTACAAAGAAGTGTCCTCTTCTCCAGCCCACACAGGCTGAATCCACTACACCATGACTACTCACTCAGCTAAGAGGCTACCAGAGAGGATAGGAAAAGTTCAAAGACAAAAGTGCAGGAAGGAAGAAAAAAAAAGAAAGAAAATAAAAAAGAGAGGCAGTCACCATCCATTTCACCAAAGGGCCTGGACAAAAGCTTCAGGATGGGAGGGCAGAGAAGAGCCAGGTATCTCCCTCAGGCATGGTTAGGATCAGCATGAGTTTAAATAAGGCATTTGCAAAAAAACTCACAGGCAAAGGTATATCATAAGTCTCCATTTCCCTGTGCATATCTGGAAAGAAGGACAGAGGGGACCGATGGGTTGGGAGGGCTTGGGAAGGCTGTCCATGCATGGTGCAGGACAGTCCCAGGGCTGGGCCGCAGAGGTGGGCAAGCGAGATGCCGGGGCGAAGTGGGGCTGCTTCTGCGTGGTGCTGAGCCCCATGGGAGGGCTCAGGGCAGAGGTGATGTAGCACAGGGGACAGGCAGGGAAAGGACCAGGGCAGCCAGGGTCTTGCTTTTTTTAATAAAACCATCCATTTCCTGGCTTTTTCTTCCTACTCTAGGGTACCAGATCCTAAACCTTCCCCTCCTCGCACCTCATACATCCCCCATCTCACCCTACAGACACACAGAAACCCTGGCTTCTTAAATCACCAGTTTTCCTTCACGTGAAGGTTTGGGAGCAACGTCAGGGAAGGGATGACTAACCCCACGTCCAAGGAAGGCGAGCATGGGGATGACGTTCTCCTGGGCGATGCACTGCAGGATCCTGGGTGCTCCGTACAGCCCCCCCATGCAGGAGGCCAGAGATGAGATGTACAGACCCAGCAAAAACAAGAAACCCACCAAGGATACCTGGAGGAAGCAGAGAGAATGCAAAGTTGATTATATTGTTCTTTAAAGACCCCTGGGCAGTCTGAAACACAGATATTTTTAAAAGATCACATGTATTTTGTTACGTTGCTAAATGAACAGAGCGAGCCCTGGGAAAGCAGTAATTTAACTTGTCTGTGGTAAAAAGTACAAGCAATTAATACAGGAAAATTATCCCATAAAAATAATTTAATACTGAACATCCTGTACCGACAGAGCCATTTGACAAGCTCATATCCAAGAAATTCTTTGTCACTTGCAGCAATTGCAGCAAAGGAGCAGCTATTAGATTCCCCTTAAGTAACTGGAAGTGAGTTTATTTCAGGAGAGATCACTTATATACAGAGCACATCATACAGGAAAAGCTGCCCAGGCTTCCAACCATCCAAAACAGGAAGACAAACCCCTGTGTCCCAGAGGGGAAAACCAATCCTGAAAGAAAACCCACAGTAAAACCAAATCAAAATTGCTACTTAAACAAATGGCATCTCAAAAAATATGCTCCGAAGGATATAATACAATGACCTTATTTTCCTGTCTTCAGTGAGAAAATAATTTCCTTTGGCCAATACGAAACTTAAAAGAAAAAAAAATCTTTAAAGCCACGGTGCTAACAAGGCTGGGTTTATGACTGGTTTCTAGTGAACATCCTCTCAAACAGGCATGGAGGAAAAGGAGGGCCAGCAGCCAGCCACAGGGAAAGGCAAGGCATGGGAGTAACACCAGCACCAAGGCTAGGCAGGGAGAAAACCCTCAAATTCTGGTCCAGATCCATCCTGCCCATACTCCACTGAAGTGAGCTGCTGGAGGTGCAGAGGGTGACACCAAATGCAGGTCCCTATGTGTCCTTCACTCCCATCCCTCCTCTCATGGAAAAGGAGATTTACATGAACACGGGTCCTCCCAGCCTCTGCCCCTGTTCTCGTCAGGAGGCACATGCTTTATTAGAAGGAATTACAAACATTTACACGGCTGAAGATGATTCAAGCTACTTCTGCCTTTTCCTCATCTATGAAGTCCACACACAGCAAAAAGGAGATTGGGAAAAAAGCCATAACATGCTTGCTGTTTGGGGAAGGCATGTAAAATTAATGTCATGGTCCAGAGCCATACAAACCTCCCACCACAACGTTTCTTTTGCCCATGAAAATTCACATGGCCTCATGAATTTTATCTTGTGGGACAGAAGAAATTTGAGAGACAGATGAGCAAATATCAGCTTCCATTAGACCAACAGACAGGCACTCGATGGGGAATCTTCCCTTCCCTCTCCCCTAATCCTGCCCTACTCTGAGAAATACTTGGAAGAAACAATCAGTTGTGCCAGACATCATATATTATTTTAGCTGCCAAAAATTCTTGCATTTAAATGCACTACTTGACATTCAAATCAGGGTTAGAGGGGAAGAGTCCTTTTCACCGAGGCTGATGAAAGGGTTTGCTGGGGGTTTTGAGCAGGGAGAGCGTGAATGCTTTGTTGGCACTTCGAGCTCATTAGAAGTGAAATTACAGAATCTCATTTTTATGGTTAAAAAGCCAAACAAGTACTGTAACGGAGAAGAGCAGACAAGTGCTCGCTCGCCTGTGAGTGACAGACAGGGAGAGTCTGCACGCTGGCTGTGTAATGATCTCTCCTCCTCTGCTCAAAACAAAGTCATTAAAATCTAAAGCAGCTTGCAATAACTCAGGGAAGCAACATGAATATTGGGATTGCACCACTGTTTTGTGCCATATTAAGGAAAAGAAAACTGAATTTGCTTTTTTGTTTGTTTGGGGGTTTTTTTAGATTTAACATTATTAAATATCTTCCCACTCTTCATTGGGAGATTTCTCATTTCCAGCCCTCCCAGGTTTTGAAGTTAAAACACAGCTTTAACAATCTCTTTCTCATCAGCTGATTCATTTAAAGCAGTTACTGTACTTTTTGCCCACTAAGTCTGTCACATTGACATACAAGGATGCTGCCTTAAAGAAGGGAGACTCATTCTTTTTTCCCCTGAAACAGAGATTTTTTTTACCTTAGCAGCAAGGAGTGGCAGAAGCACCACCAATTATTCAAGTGAAGGAAGTTTAGGGCTACAGTTACTTAGAGATAAAATGAAGCTAGAGTTTCAAACTGATTTTTTAGATTAAAACCATGTTAGAAATCAAATAAATGGCAAACATCTCAAATTTAATTTAATCACAAAAACCAGTGTCAGATATGATGAACTCATGATTTTGGATAATGCTGAATAATAGAAAATTATATCCCATACCCCGTTTAAAGTAAGACAGTGACACACACCAAAATCTTTTGTGTTCTCTTTTTCAAGGCCTGCAATGATAAGGTTCATTGCCTGTTACACCACAAACCACCCTCGTGTACATACATCCATGTGGAATGTCTCGAGTTTAATAATCCTATTGCTCGCCCTGCAATTACAGACCGCTAGATATGGAAATGTAAGCTTCGCCTGACTTAGTGAAGATAAGCACTGGGGTTCTTTAGAGATTTCAATTTGGTCTAAGCTTTCACCAACGAGAAAGGATACATTGAATAAAATACAGCATTTATCATTAGGCCACATTAGCATATTTTAGTGCTTAAAGCTATTGCTGGGTGATTATGCCAAGATTCAGCATTACTGGATATGCTGGCAAAGGCAAAGTTATTCAAACCAATTGTACACTGGTACTTGCGATGGGGAAATCCCCCTGAATTTCAATGAAGGATGGGTACCCAAATTCCTTAGGCTTTTGGAAAAGTTCAAGCATTCAGCAAAGCAGATGGCAACCCAAAAGCGCCATTAAATAAAGCCAGGCTGGGTTATTCAGACAAGTTACCTTCTCTGCTATCATGAAGTCATAGCGGAGTGACTGACGGGTACAAACGGCTCCCAGCAAAAAAACAAAGACCATATACAGAAACCACCTGCAAACAACAAAAAGAAACTATTTTTTTTCCAGCAAGAGAAGACCATTGAGAATTCTGCCCATTAGCAGCACCACGAGAAGGTCACGTATCTGCAAGTTGGGTCCTCAATCACTCTGCATGGGCGGTTTCTGCACGATTTAGCCTCATGGCTAAATTCAACCCTGGTCCACATTACAGACTCACTACAATGTACCAGGGACAGCTGCAGCGTGACCACACAGTACCCCCGAGGGGGAGCTACCTACACTCTTCATGTGTGCATGTGGGCAATAACCCAGGCCCGGGGACAGACGTTTAATAGGGTCTGTAGCAATAAGACAAGGGGTAATGGTTTTAAGCTAAAAGAGGGTAGATTCAGACTAAATATAAGGAATAATTTTTTTATGATGAGGGTGGTAAAACACTGGAACAATTTGCCCAGAGAGGTGGTAGATGCCCCATCCCTGGAAACACACAAGGTCAGGCTGGACGGGGCTTTGAGCAACCTGATCTAGCTGAAGATGTCCCTGCTCGTTCACTAAGAACCCCTCTAAATTCAGGAGATCTTTTCTGCCTGTCTGAACTTTGGTATGCAATTAAACATCATAAATTCAAAAGCAGTTTAGTGGCAATGAAAACAGGCAGGAAAACCTACTGAGTTTGGTTTTTTTTTTACATATGTAACAGTGTTTTATTTCTGCAAAGCAATATTTCCCAGGGGAGAGCACTGCTTGGGGATGTAGGACTCCTGCCTTGCCTGGTAGGGAGGTCATCTCACCTGTCTTGGCCCCATTTTCCCAATAATAAAAATTATATATTTTAAAAAATTTTATAAAT